CATAAGATCTATTTTCGGCACCTACTTTTCCCTTACTAATATCAGGCAGTGTTAAATAAATGAATAATGCTGCCTAATAATTAGACCCATGTGCTAACTTGTAATATATAGCAATATATAGATGTACGAAGCTACTATGTACAAGTTGGAAGATTATTTAAGGCAATAGGGACAGCCATGCTAAAGGGCCCTTGGATGTGGTCTGAGGACATACAATGCAGCCAACTTGCTGAACTAAGAATCTTGGATCGAGTTAGTGCCTGGGTAGAAGAGACATTGGGAATCCTTTCAAAGTTGCTGTGAGTTCCATGATGAAAGAAAAGATGACACTCACAAACACTGTCAATCAAGGATGCATTAAGGGCTGTTCTTGTCTGTGAGAGGTACAGCAAAGGCAAAAGCTTTTGTGGCCTGGGATTCCCCTCCCACCAAAAGAAAGCAAATCAAATTCCCCTGATAGAGCCTCTGCAATATCTTATTAAAATTAACTATATAATTAGGGAAATTATAGAAATAATTTCTATAAAACATCCTCAAATAGTGCAACCTCCCTGTAAAACTATATACACCTAATCACCACATGTAATCTCCCTCATTTTCCATCTCTTTGTTTAAAAATCTGAACCTACATATATTTATGTCCTCCACGACAAATATAGACAGTAAATTGGGCAGATATGAGGAAAGCCAATGAAGCTGCCATTGAGAAATCAGAAAGAAGGAAGTGGAGAAGATTGTTATACAGAAAGAAGAAGTGGGCATACATGGGCAAATTTCTAGAAAAAATCACGAGAAGAGGAAGATATCATTGGGATGGTGAAATGCAAAAAGACCCCAAAACAAGATCCCACCAAAGTTAAAGGTAGAAGGGGGGAAAAACCAAACGAGAAAGCAGCGTTTAAAGTGATTTCAAAGAAAGGAAATGTGGAAGCTTTGAGCTGTAACCGAGAGAGACCCACTTTTTCCACTTGCTCTAAATGTAGCTTTGAAAGTTACCATGGGCATGTAGACATGATGAGGGTTCCCTGGGTTGTAATATGCACTTGCAGCAGCTTCTGCAGCCTTAGCTTCAGCTATAAAAAAAACCAACAGCACATATTAGTGATTATTGTGATCATCAATCTTATATAGCTGCTTATCTGACACATGTGACTCTAGGTCACTGCTGGTGAACCTTTTTTGGCTCGCGGGCGCACCACACCCATAATGCTATGCGCAAGACCCACATGCATGCCCCCTGTTTTTAGCGCACTTTTTTCGCCCTCCCCAGGCTGCAGAGGCTTTTTAGGAGCCTGGGGAGGACGAAAACAACTTCTCCCCCCTCCCCCCTCCTGGAGGCTTCAGGAGCTTCCCTAAAGCCTTCAGAGCACGAAAAACCAGCCCTACGGGCAAACTGGAACTTTAGGAACAGATTTCTGGTTTGCTCGTAGGGCTGTTTTCCGCCTCCCCCCCAACTTCCAGTTTGCTTGTAGGGTCGTTTTTTGCCCTCCGGAGCCTTCAAATCTCCTGAAGGCTCCTGAATGCTCCGGAGGGCAAAAACCGGCCCTACAAGCAAACCAGAAGTCCGTTCCCGAACTTCCGGTTTGCCTATAGGGCCAGTTTTTCGTGGGCGAAAAATGACCTCAAAAGAAGGCCAAAGTCAGCTGGCCAGCACACACATGCACGCTGGAGCTGACAAGGCAATGCCTCATGTGCCCTAACAAATGGCTCCACGTGCCACCTATGGCACGTGTGCCATAGGTTCGCCATCATGGCTCTAGGTGGTTTAACATGGTGGGTGAAATTATATATTATGGCTTGTAAAACCATGGTTTACACTTAGCATGTGTAGGATTCTAGGCAGCTTTGGTTTATTCAAGAAAATACATAATACATAAGTCTTATTGATAACTATTAAGCTGGAAATTAGGGTTGAACCTGAATGTTCAAATCACTGTCATATTCTGTGCTAGATCAAATCAAACAGATCACATTGTCATTTAATACAATGTATAATCCCTGCTGTAATTCTCTTGCCATTTTTGCCCAAAGCTGCTGTATGTTTTTTCCTAGAGGAATGAAATCAGCTACTCAAATTCCGTGAAGTCCTCTAAAGTTATTCAAAGGACAAGGCTAAAACAATGCAGCAGTTCATGTCAGCCAATTCTTGCTTCCAAGATGGAATACTGCTTTAGCAACCAATCATCTCCTGTATTATACAGTATTGACCTTGTTTCTCATATTTCCCAAAATGCAGTATAAGTTAAGGAGAGAAGCTCTACTGTCCTTTAATCATATAATAATAGGATTATTCTGCTTAGCTAAAAAGGACTTATTTTCACCTACTTCTAATATCAAACAGAGCACCATTCTGGTTTTCCGGCCTGGATCACCAGAACCAGCAGTGACCCAGGTATGCCACACCTCTGAACCCCCCTTTTTTATGTTCTGCGCATGCACAGATCTATTTTTGGGCAACTGCACACGGAGCCCAAAATTGCATGTGCACCGAATCGGCAGCAGCAACCCACCCTGTACTGCAGGGATATGTTTCAAGAACTGTGACCCTTACTATTCTAAGAATCAAACTAAAAGTTTCTAAAAGCCACAGTCAGGATAAAAAACTGAAGTCTTTCCTGATTCCCTTCTTCTCCAGGCAGATGTGTAGTCTTTGTGCACAAGAGGAAGATTATACCCTCTGACATACTGCCACTCTTCAACAATAACAGGCCTATTGCCAAACACTGACTCCAACACTACACACTGAATTTGCCTCTAAAATTTTCTCTCTCTAGTTCTTTGCTAATAATACATTTTATACCATGAAAGTTTCCTCTTTATTTTGTAATATTTGTTAAAAACTCCTAGTCTATGCTATTGGACAAAATTATAGTCAAATTATAGTTTAGGAGAAAATGGAACCAATTCAAGCATGCAATGTAATTTATATAATAAACAACTGTGAGGCCCGGCTTTTGGCACACTCTGTATAGGAATATATGCCCTGCATGCTTTTCTTTTTCTTGTATGTTTTTTCTTAATTCTTTCTTGATAACTGTGTGGGTTATTATTTTTATTTTGTTTTCAATTAACTAAAAACATATTATATTAAAAAGCCATGTAAATAAAACTTGTGCTGTTATTCTTTCTAGGAATTAACCACCTACAATTTTTAGTGAAAACTCAGCCCTTCCTAGGTTTATTTTTTGGTGAAATTTGCTGGATGTTTTGCCTTTTTATTGGTGATACACAGGGTGAACAAAATACCTTTTTGCTATCTCTACAAACTGCATTTGTGAAGCTTGACAATAACAAAAGGCAATTCATTTATAAATAGATTTAGTTTGAGGTCCTGCAAAGGAGATTAATTGAACCATTTTTAGAAATTAGCCATCCAAGTTAAAATTACGTCTCTACAGAATGGCTTTCCAAAATATGTCTTCTTTTAAATGGGCTTTGTCAACAAAACAAATGCTAATGTGGTTTGCTAAGACTAGCACAACCTTTCCTAATCTGGTGCCTTCACAATGTATTGGTTGGGAATAACAGAGTAGTATACCAACATACTAGCAAGGCACAAGTTAGAAAGGCTACATATGTGAACCCTGATTCAAAGGCTTTGCGCCAATCTATCATTCTTCAGAAAATTTCCTTTCTTGGCCTTTGTGCAAACATCTTACCTGCTGGAGTGGTGGGATGATCTGGGCCAGCAGCAGGTGGCTCCATAGGCCCAGGATAGGGAGGAGGCGGAAGCTGCATGTATCCCATAGCACCATCCATTGGTGGGCCAGGATACAATTCTAGGACAATGTAAAAAGACAAGTGTACAGAACTGCAAAAACAATTAGCTGAGACAAACCACAGTTTCATTGACATGTCCACCTTCAAATTGACCTTTTTAGGTACATTAAAGAGCCCAATTTAGAAGAAGGAGGAGGAGGAGGAGGAGGAGGAGGAGGAGAAGGAGAAGGAGGAGAAGGAGAAGAAGAAGAAGAAGAAGAAGAAGAAGAAGAAGAAGAAGAAGAAGAAGAAGAAGAAGAAGAAGAAGAAGAAGAAA